GTTTACCAGGTTTTCCTTTATAGAAACAGATTTTTTTCTTCCAAAAAAGATAGCAGTCATTATTACATGAACTTCTCCTTCCTATACTTTTAATGGGAGGTTATCAATAGGACTGTTTGGTATTTAGATATGTCAACTTTTCTAAACAGGTAAAGTCTGTGGCAGATAATATAGTCCAACTTAAGAGGCTCACTCAATCAGATGTCTCTCTCCCTCTCTGCTTGTCTCTACGCACTCAAATTACACTATTAGAATTTCTCCCCCCTTTGGATTATTAAGAGATTATCTCCATTTACTTGTAAATACTTATGAAAGATGTAAAACTGTTTTTTTTTTTTCTTGTCAGCAAGTAAATCTTAATATGTGACAGGTCAGGGTGAGTGCCGGCCCAGGCAATGGAGATGAAAGCAGTCGCATTGACTCAGTTGCCTGCTCCCTCATTCATGCAGTCACGGAGTTAGTACCTACGGGCAGTAGGAACAGCTCTGTGCCAGGCACTGTGGACAATGGGAAAAGGAGACCCATATGGCTCTCAGTCCTGGACCAGACAGTCTAGAGAAGAAACCCATACTATCTTCTATTGGAAGAGAGACTCAAGCTCTGTGACTTTGCTGGGAAAGGCAAGAGGAGAAGTGAGACCACATGGAACATTCCAGGGCAGCAGGAGGCAGAATCCAGAAGGTTCTAAGGCCAGGGCCAGAGAAATGGCTCCCAGTGGTGAAATCAGAGGATGAAGACAAACTTTGCCTACTTCGTCTGGGGGACGGCAAGCCATCGTTGCAGTGAGATTCCATATTTTCTCCTGCTCACTGTCTGAAGTAGAATGTGTTGACAGATGCCTCTCTCCAAATTGTCCGTCTGCCACTGGCAGCTCAAATTACAGGGAATTACCTCACCCTCGCCGGGGTGACTGCAGAGCGAACATCAGGCAAGCTGGAGGACCAAGGCATGTCCTCATTTATCTGCTTGCTCCTATTGCAGCTTTGTGTCATTTGGAAAAAATGTATTAAAACAATGAACTTCTTCCCTCAGATTCTATTTTCCTTTTTTCTGACTCAGAGAACACATTGGTTAATAATATCAGTCTTCCTCCCCCCACACCCATGAGAATAACAGCACATACGGGACATCTTCAATGGAAAATAATTTTTTAAAAATCAAAACTTCACTTCCAATTCAATTTTTGGGAAACAAAAAGATATTTTTTCATAGAAATGATAATGGGAATGATGGGAAACGTCTCCCAAGCTAACTCACAAAGACATTCTTAACCAACAAATGCCTGAAATAGTCAAACACAGTGTTGGTGTAACGTAACTGACTAAGGAAAATAATTAAAATTTTGGAAGTTTAATATACACTGTATATAAAATGTTATATGTTTTATATATAATATATAACTTTTTAATTCTGTAGAATTAAAAATTCTAAAATTTAGGACTTAGAAGTTTTCAGAAATTTTTATATTCTTTACTCTTCAAATTTTAAAACTTAAATATCTTTGATATTAGTAATGCTTAAAGAAAACCAAGCTTCCTATGAAGAGTTTAGGAAATTAGGTGGTGATTTTGCATGGATTATAGGCATTTTCAAACACAATATAATTTGTAGGCACTTTTCCTTTTTATTTTAAATTTGTCATGTTCCTTCTTGTTTTTACATATATTTTTGGCTAACGTACTTCATTATAGATAAATGCTTTGCTGGCTCATAAAACATACAGAAGAAAATATTTTTCCTGAGATATCTTAACAAGATTGAAAACAGAGATGTAGTGAAAAAGATGGGTATTGATTTTTAAAAAAGCACATGTCTGTACAGCTGATCTGTAAATGGTTTAGGTTGTCAGCAACAGAGGGCTGTGGGGCTGAAACCTCATGCCAGATGGTTCCCTGAGTGTCCTTCCTCCACTGGGCTCCATTGGCCTGCATAAGCTTGTGGCTACCCAACTGGAGAAAGGTGACACCAACTCCAGGAGGGAGGGCAGAGAGGGAGTCCAAGTGCAAAACCTCGTAATAAGTGTCAGATCATCACAAATTAGATATCTGCCACTCAGCAAGTAACTGGGTAGCGTAACTGTAATGCAGCAAAAGTACCTAAGCAAGGCCAGATGGCTAAAGGGGAAGAAGGGGCATGGAGGGCCCAAAAGTGATATGGTTTTTTTTTTTTTTTGCCACTTAAGGACAGTGCATAAATAGACACAAAGATGATGGTATCAGGCAAAGAAAAACAAAAGTGACATTGTGCAAAAACACAAACAAACAAAAAGAGAGAGAGAGAGAAGAGACAATACTCTTGCCTCTTTACAATACTTTAAAAAAGTATTGCTTCTTCTCTCTCCTCTACCACTTAAGGAACTGTGAGTAGCATATCCCAGAGCCGCCCGTCACAAAACTGAGGACACGCCATTTTTCTACAGAACTTAAAATATGTAATTTCCCAAGGTTAATTTCACTTTGATTCTGGTAACTGAGTGATAAAAGTTCCTTTCTTATACTTGAGATATAGGTAGAATAGAGAATTAAATCAACATATTCAATTTTGAGATGCATATACATGCTTAATTCTCTGTTGTGGGTCTGAGCTATTAAGGAAAAATTTAAATGAAGCAAAAACAAAAACAAATGAATGATAATCAGGACTTAATTTTCTTTAAGAAATAAAAGGATTGAGAGAAGCATGTGGAGAGTTTGTATACTGCAAAGTGAAGTGTGTACGATTCTGAAAAGATGTTTCTTTTTCGCTGAAATCAAAGGCTAGCTATATATAGAAACAACACAGATGTGGTTGCGCATACTCCATGGTCTATGTTGGCTTTTTAAAAATAATACAGATCATATAAACTGTGGTGAAGCCACCCACAGGTACATATTCTATTCAATGTCTGTAGAGCCTGCCTAAGAGAAGAGTTCTGATTATTTACGAAAGCATCGTGATACTATGATACAGAGGCTGGTTGAGACATATGCAGAGACTACTACTCCTTCCTCAGTATTAATGCTTCCCCTTTCCCTTTCAGCATCGCAAGCCCCCACGTTAGCGGGTCACAGGCCATCCAGGTAGAGACTAAATGCCCCAGCCTCCCTCGCACCTAGATGTGGCTATGGGACACAATCTGAACTAATGGGATAAGAATGCAATTGCTCTGTACAAGGTCTAGGTCGCCTTTTTAAGCTAAGATAACTCCTCAGGCTTCCTGACTTCTCATTCATGCTCCCTGGGAAATGGTGACACTGGGGGCAACCTTAGAAGTACTGAGTATTGTTGGCAAAGTCACCCTGACAACCTTGGGCCACTCACCTCGGAGATGGCATGTGGGAGAGAAATGACTTCTCTCTCTAAATCATTGTTCATTTATCTGTTTTCATTTTTTGTCACATAAGCTGTGCCTGTATTGTGACTAGAATGACCAGATTGTTGGGCTGACCTAATCTGGACTTGGGAAGGCTGAAAGCTCTGACAGGGGGCAAGAATGAGAAGGGAGGCCTCAGACCAGAATGCCCACGTGCTGTGATGACACTCTTCACTGAAGGAGATCAGACACAGCACCCTGGCTTAGGGGGCTTCCCCTCCCCTGTCTGCCCACAACCCTTCTACATCCGTCAAGACAACTCAAAAGCAAGGCTCTTCCAAGGCTTTCCAGATTCACTGCATTTCTAGTCTCCTAATTTACTTTGAATATGCACCTTTGTTATAGTTTGTAACACTAATATTTCATTGAAATCATATCCAACTCTCCTTCCAGACTCTTTGGGAGGAGGGAGATCAGTCCCTCAGTCTTTCTATTCACATTGTCCAGCACAATGTGTGGATTAATGTGACTTCTCAGTAACTCTTGCCTGGATGCTTTTGCATTCATGCCATTGAACGTAAATATTTTACTAATGTTGATGGCTTGTTTAAGTCTTCTTATCAATATTCAGATTGTTTAAAAGTTTTTTAGTGCTTACTCTGTGAGTCAGCTGAGTGGTGGTGCTTGACTGGCTACTGCTGTAGCTCCTTTCCCCCTTCCTCTGGGGTTGCTGGTAAATAGTCTCAAGTCCGCTCCTCTTCTTCCTCCCCTTCTTCACCACACACAGACAATTTTATAACAAGTCTCTCCTCCTGAGCATCTGTCACATGTGAGAGGTTCTATACGTATATTTTGTCTGATTTTTATAACAATTCTACGTGGTAGGTATTGTATTTCCATTTTACACATGACGAAACTGAGGCCCAAGATTGCAACTCCCAGCTAGGCTTTAAGTCCACAGATCCCAGATGCCAAACCCAAATTCTTACTCCACCACCGTATGTTTCCAAGAGAAAGGAAATGTTAGCTCTGGTCATCAGCAATCGCATGTCTCTGAGGGTTTACAAACAGACCTGCCGATTCTTATCATTGAACAAGTACTAGGGTGTGCAAAACAGAGAAGCTGATCAGGGACTCATCCCTCTGTTGCTGTGGAGTGAACCCCTCACAAGTGCTGTGCGCTGCTCCTGTGTGCTCAGACTCTGCTGGCTCCTCATCTTTCCAGTTTGACATGATCATTCTGATGTGGAATCCCCTTTCTATCACTTTTTTATGGTGATTTATGGCACCTGTGACCCTCCTTACAACTGGACCCTACCTAGAGAATATTGCTTTAGAACTGGCATTTCTGCCTTCATAAAACTCATTCAGACCCCTCTGGTCAGTCTCACTCTCTGTAACTGGACACTGACAGATGTAGCCATCTCTCACATTTGACCTCTTTGTGGGACAGGAAAGCAAAATCATAGGACAGACGAGACGGCGATTAGGAAGGGAGGGGCTCAGGGAGGGAAAGAACTGAGGTCACATAATTTTAGCCAATACACAGTGGTTTCCAATAAACACTTATTAAATATCTATTATTTGTTTCAAACTAAAATGCTCTAGGAAAAAAAAAAAGATCACTTACCCATCAGCAGGGGTGTCTCTCCTTTGTCATTTTTGGTGTTGGGCCACACTCCCTTTTCCAGTAATGTTCTCACATTTTCCACCAGACCGGCTTTGACTGCCAAAGTCAAGGGTGTTTCTCCATCACAGGTCTTGAATTCCCAAAGTGTCTTATAGGACGCTGAGAAGTGAAAGTATCATGTTGAAAAGTTAAAAATATTTACTTACGGGATATCAAATAAATCAGAGGAACCATATATTATTGACATCAGGTTGAATAATACCAATTGATGAAAAAGGAAAGACTTTGATTAAAAGTTTACCAAATGATGGTGAGAGTAAGTAAATGCACATGAACTTGCTAACCCAAGTGACAGCTAAAATACCAACATCTACACTTTAAACTACTCTTTTTTTTTTTGGCAGAATCTCCCTTTGTTGCCCCTGTAGAGTGGCAACACAGCTCACAGCAACCTCAAACTCTTAGGCTTAAGTGATCCTCTTGCCTTAGCCTCCCAAGTAGAAGGGACTACAGGTGCTTGATACAATGCCCAGCTTGTTTTTCTATTTTTGGTATTGACATGATCTTGCTCTTGCTCAGGATGGTCTCAAACTCTTGAGCTCAAGCAATCCACCAGCCTTGGCTTCCCAGAGTGATAGGATTATAGGCGTGAGCCACTGCCCCTGGTTTAAACTACTTTTCTTTTTGAAAATGGGTGCTAATTCTTATTTCTTGATACATTGTAAAACAATTCTCAAATTCCTTGTACTATTATTTAAATTGTATGTGAAATTATTATTTTTTTCACATGAAGTCTGTGGGCATCAGAATGTGTTTGAATGAAGGTATCATTGTGACAAAGTGATTCTTAACATCATCTATATCTGTCTTGCTAGCTGTCTAGTTTTCCAGCTGGCAATTGTCAAGTAGGTATCATTATCTCCCAGAAGGTAGGACTAGCGTGCAACATTGAAAGTTCAAAGACAGGACACCCTCAAAGTGTTCTGTGAGATGCTGAGATGTGTTAAAACATAAAAGTTATTGTTAATGTTTAATGGTAGTTGATTTAACCAGGCTATTTGTTTCAGCATACATTTTGAAAAAAGTAATATACTATAAGAAGAAATACTGTAAGCACAGCTGCTGCATTGTGATAGGTTCTTTTGGAAACAGTTAACTCAAAAGGTAGTTCAAGATGAAAAATTAAGAACTGACTTCCAAAAGAAGATAGCACAGTGCATGGGTAGTTCAGTGGTAGAGTTCTCACCGGACAAGAGAAAAAACGCTTTGTGTTTGAATCAATTAATTCATGATATGTACAAACTTTTATCACTTTTGAATGCTAACCATACCTTCCCACCAACCTGGTTTTTTTTTTAGGTAAAATGGTAATCCCAAAATGTCACAAAATGTGCAAATTTTTGTACTTTGACTTTAAAACATGGGTACCGCCTTTTTCTAATTGCAACCAATTGTTAATTCTGCTTTTTTCTTTTTTGCTTGTTATGGTCATTGAAAACACAATTTCTGCCTTCTTGCTTTGGTTTGGACATAGGGCATTATGTTCTTTACCATCCAGAACAATCTCAAGTATTTGTTGAATGGGTTGAACAACCGCTTCGTGCAATGGAAACCAGCCTTTATCATCAGCTTCATCCAAGGCATATTTATATTTCACATACTCCTGAAGCTCAAGAATGTGACCTAAATTAAACATGAGGATTAATAACAGATTTCTATCTTTGCAAAGAGGAATCTCCAATCCATTCCCCTGTAGATAATAAACCCATTTACCTTGCTTTATGGCCTCCACAATTCTTCTGTTTTGATCACTCAGGGGTACAAATCTACCAGAAAAATAAAAACAAGTCATATTTACACTAGTGGTATACTTCAAAGACCTTAAAGTTTTAATTTATACTGACTTTTCCCTACTATTTATTTTATTTTGCTTGAAATAGTCTCATTCTGTCGCCGTTGATAGAGTGCCATGGCATCATAGCAACCTCAAACTCTTGGGCTCAAGCAAACTCCCATGTAGCTGGGATTACAGGTGCCTGCTGTAACGCCTAGCTGGTTGTTCTATTTTAGAGATGAGGTCGCTCTCTTGCTCAGGGTGGTCTTGAACTTCTGAGCTCAAGCAATCCACTCACCGTGGCCTCCCAGAGTGCTAGGATTATAGCAGCAAGCCACTACTCTGGCCTGATTTTATCTACTTTAAAAATGTAAATGTCCAGGAGTCAAATAAAGAGCATATTTATGATATTGGAATGAAAAATACTAGAAAGTCGTATTGACAAAATAGAAGATTATAATGGTATCTCTGAGATGTGAGAGATATGTAAGCAATAGTAAAGGTATAAACGATTGAAGACGGAATACCTGAATTCAGGTCACAGTCAGGTTTAAGGGTTGGGGGCAGCCAATTAGCTTATCTGAGCTTCAGTTTCTTCATCTGTAAAATGATGAGATTAAATAGGAAGACTTCTAAGAGCTTCCAACTTTAGAAGCGCTATGCTCAAAATATTGTTATTGCTCTGAACGCAATAATTGCTAACTAATGATACATACAAATTTTAATCACTGTTAGGTGATAACCAAACCTTTCCAACAACCTGTGTCACAGTCCCAGGTAAAAGGATAAACACTTGGGAGTTTATTGTCCACACTCACTGCATGTTAAGAGTCTTTAATCAACAGTTCCACAAGTAAAAACAGGAGGAACATTTATTGAACAATTTCCTACTTATTAGCCAGCAGGTTATGACTTAAATCTTCATGATAATTTTCCAAGTATGTTGTATTAACTAAAAGTAAGGAATTTCATAACAAATTTATTTAACTCTATTGATCAGAAATATCTGCTAGCATTTTAAAGTTGGGAATGTCTGCCTTCAAGGGAACTGTAAAGCTCTACAATCCATTGGAGATAACCAAAAAATTTAAAAGATAAGAAATTTAAATGTAGTATTTTCATTTTTATTAAGCCCCAAAGCAATAATTTTTATCATACTGTATCTGGTAAAAAATACTACTCAATTTCAGAATACATGATTCTAAACACTGTAATAGAGTTTCAAGGTAAACTAAACTTTGTTTTTATCAGAAGTAGAAGGTGTGTTGTTCGAGACAGAAATTTAGTTTTGCAGTTTGAGGCTCAATAACTTCTACTTACACAATCCATCAATTTTAGGCACATTTAAATTTGTTAATTCCGATCATTTTAATAGTAGATAATTAAATAGGTGTTGGTGGTTTATATGTTACTTTGTCATATATAACCAATACCCACAGCTCATCTTCCACTCATTGAGTTGATGAGGTAGGTGGGTTTACATTATTCTTCCTATTTTAAAGATCAAAAAAATGTTATTTATAAAAGGTTAGCTGAGTCAGTAGTAGAACAAACTCTACAGACCTCTGTATACTGTCTATACATTGGATGCATAAACTATATTTGCAAATTTGTTCAAACTGCGTATTGTCATTTTGACTCCCTATTAATGTATAAAATAAGCAATCATATGCAATCAAATTCAACTAGGAATTCTCTAGCTAAATTATTTCTGTTTTCCATATGAGGGAGGATTTGTAGAAGATCAGATTGCTAAAATCTATGCACAGTGGTCTTTGGAAAGCCATTAGATTCCCTGCCAGAAAAAGCTAAACATTTTCCTAGGGTAGCATTCACTTTATCTTATAACAAAATGAATGCCATAGGGAAATGTTGAAGACAATAGTCAATTTAAATACTACCTTTCAGGATAGAATATAGTCTTGTTGGCCTCAATGGATTCTTGGATACTGAGCTGAATATCATAACTTGTAAGACGGTCTTCATCAGGGTCATCATTAATATCCATGTCTGTATATAATTTTGAAAAAGGCAATTTCTTATTATCAACAAATGACACAGAACCTAGTTAACATGAAAAATGCATAATGAAAAACTAAAATGCATTTTCTTTCCCTATTTAACAAATATGAATGTAGTTAACATTGTAATCCACATTATATATGAAGTCCATTTTGCTAACTTAAAATGGGTTACCTGTTGAAACATTTAATTACCTACCCTCTGGGTGTCTGTACTTCTAATTTTTTTTTTTTTTTCCCTAAGACAGGGTCTTCCTCTGTTGCCCAGGCTGGAGTGCAGTAATGTGATCACAGCTCCAGTGATCCTCCTGCCTCAGCTTCCTGGGCTTAAATGATCCTCCTGCCTGAGCCTCCTGAGCAGCTGGGCTGCAGGCCTGCACCACTGGTCCATCTAAAAATTTTTTTTTTTTTTTTTTTTTTGGTAGAGATGATATCTCACTATGTTTCCTAGGTGGGTCTCAAACTCCTGGGCCCAAATGATCCTCCCACTTGAGCTCTCAACACTTTCGAACTTTCTACTTTCTTTTCAGTAATGGCTGTAGTTGGGATTACAAGAATTTACTATTTTTAGAGCTTCTGATTTACACTATTTTTGTCCATCAGTTTTCTGTAACACAATTGCATGTAGTGCATTGGAAGCTTAAAACTCAGCTCAAGGCAGAGAAGTGAGGCAGCGTCAGTAATATAAAATGCTGATCCTTTTACGTGCTTTACAAACCAGCAATGGTGAATTGTAAAGTACGACTTGTCTCAGAGGATCCTTTGAAGATAAGAGCCAGGTCATCTCCATCTGGAGGACAGAGACCAGCCTCCTGCAGATTCCCCACTACTTCCCTTCCCCAGTTCTGCCTCAAGTCACTGCTCTTGACTGGCCTTGAAGGTGCTATTCAAAAAAGTGGATTATTCCCTGCTGGATTCAAAAAAGTGGATTATTTTCTCCAAATATCCAGTTAGAAGAGTGAATATCTCCCTTTACAATTGGATCAATTGCTTTATCTTCTATAGAGAGAAAATTTAGCAAAGTGTAGAAATCAAAACAGTTGTACAGCAGGGTTGACTGTCCAGTAAGAAATTGTCTTTGATTAATGTATTTTCAAGCTGAAATATATTCTCCATACAAAATTTTACACTGTAGGATGTACAATCAGGGGAAGAAGAACAAAACAGTGTTCTGTAGGTGATTTACAAAACGCAGCTTTATAACTTCTCATTCTCCAAGGCTGGATAATCTCAACCTTGGTTATTAGCATGTAGGGAACATGCCTTGACTTGGGGGCAGAAGGCAGGTAAACTTGCCAGCATCGTTATGATGTTATCATACATTATTCCACAGCAGTGGCCCTAGTATCGCCTAAGGACAGAAGGATAGAATAGTGATGATGTTCAGAGACCACA